AGAAAGGCGGGATACCCCTCACAGTCAGGCAGGCTTTGATGATTACACTCGACAGCTGCGCTTGCGCGCTAGCTTGAGCCTACCTTCGTGTGCTTCCGTTACTCTTTAGGTAGTTGTTATTTTTTAACTTATTTATGTAATACCGCTAAAGCCTGCGCCTGGAGGCACAAAGTGTTTTTTTTTTTTCCTTTTTCTTTTTAAAGCCCAGGGCCCCAGGTTGTTTTTGATGTGGATTCTAGACATATGACAGTCACCTTCAGCAATCGTTCATCCAGGTGGCCTATACTGGCCCGCCATTCCTATGAGACTCCCTCCCAACCTTCGAAGCCTTGATGAGATCCCAAGCAAACGCTTGAGCTTCAAGAAAGTTTGTGATCCAAGCCTATGGGAGATAAGCTCCCCACAGGTGCTAGTGGTGTCTGCTCTTATCAGCACCACTAACACTGGTGGAGGAGTGTTTTTGAAAAGAAAAAAAAAAAGAAAAAAAAAGAGAGAAGTTCCCAGAGTAAACTTGTGTAAGGCAGTAGGAATATAATGTGCTCAAAGCACCAGTACTTGGTGCAGCTATCGGCCGCAGAAAAAAAATAAAGTAGAAACATTTCTAGTTGGATGAATTTGGGCACTCCTGTAGTAGCCCATACGTTTCCTAAAATTGTGGCGCGTTAACCGGCACAACTCTAGGAAGTACTGGTGTTTTAAACCACCAGTACCTCGCTCAGCTATTGAATCCGCGCCTCCCAGCACACTGCGCGCCAAGTCCTGCCGAACCGCCGTCGCAATTTTCTTTTTCGTTTTGCCTGCAGCCTCCAGCCAATGCGGTCCGGCAGGCCGAAGCCCAAATGGCACGGCGCGTATACGGGAAGTGCCACGACCGATAGCTGGGCCAGGTACTGGTGGTTTAAGGAGTGGAGCTAGTGGGACCTCCGATGCATTGTTGTGCCTCCACCGCCACCACGTCCTCCACCTTCACCACCTATAGGTCCACCAAGAGCACCTCCTTGCCCAGTTGGGCATTCTCCAGCCCCTGCATGTCCCCTACCCCCTCCTTGGTTGGGTGTAGAGGCTGGCTGGGCAAAATTTTGCATGATCACTGTGAGCTGTCCTTGACCGAGGGCAATCATATGGCGGCCCTGTGAGGTGGATTGGTTCCTTCATGCTCCAAGTGATCTTGCTTGAGGTACAACCCCTCGTCTTCTGGGGCGAGATAGTGCCAGTCATTTGTCCACGTCACTGGCCAGGTTAACCAGCTTAGAGCCTTAGACAGTATACCGATAATTCGTGCCGACATGTTTCGGCGCAGTACAAGCGTAATGCCCAATTTTGCCTGCTGCTTGGAGTTGAAGTGTACGTCCAAAATTGCACCGTGATGGGGTGCGCGAAGATTTTTGGAATGTGGTGCTGTAGAGTTTCATATCGGACCTGACGCCTTCGTGTGCTGCTGTCCATAGGGCTTTTTGGTGGTTGCCAGTGCTGAGCTTAAACCACCAGTCCCTCCATGACTTTTTTTGCTGAGGTGGATGCGCTCCTTGAGTACCAAGCTTCGACGAAACACCAGCGCGTGTTTTTTTTTTTCCCATTCTTTTGGCTAGTGCAGCCAGCCAGTTTGGACCCAGGCATGTCGCACATACAAAAAAAAATTGAAGTTTTTGTATGGGCGTTGTACTCCGATGTACGGAGGTTGTGCTCCGTGTTGTACTCTGCCAGCCAGTTTGGACCTAGGCATGCCCCAGTTTTGTATTAAAAAAGAAAAATGATCAGAAAATTCTGAGAAAAAAAAGAAAAAGTGATAGAAGACATTATTCGGAACAACTTTTGCCTCAGACAAAAAGTGAAATTCGCAACCACGATCGAATCACCAGCACTGCGTTACTATTGAGCCGCCCTCGGCGGCGCGCACTGCGGGATGGGGAACCTGCCACCACCGTCGCTAGAACGTGGTGTTGACGTGGCTATGGTGGAGCGGGGAGATGAGAGGGAACGGGCCGAAGGAGCCATATCACCTCTCCTGGAACACGCCGAAGGAGCCACATCACCAGATTCACCGCTCCTGGCCAAGGTCAGATCTGGCTGGTCAATTTTTGCCCCAGAATCATACCTGATCGTGGAGGACGTTGATGAAGACGTGGGGTCGATCGAACGGCATAGCCCGAGCACCGCACCATACATGATGGGACTGATCAGGGGTTGGTTGACTCCCCTGGTCTTCGATATGGAGCACTCGGCAATTCAGGACTTCCTGCTGCAGTGCGCTGGTCGCATGACGGGAGCAGCTGCACCTGAGCTGCTTGCAAGTTCACACGAAGACTGTTGCTATGTTTCTCTGCGTTGTGCTAATTGTCCAGCTGTTCGAGCTTCCATTTTCTGCTCATAAACTTCGATCGCCTCTGACCGCTTCAGGTGAGAGCTTTGAAGCTTTCTGTGACATATGTTTCCTTGGTTGATCGTTTACGATTTTTAGCTTCTCGTGTATTGACTGGAATTTTGGCCTGTCATTTTACATTGAGAGTGTTAGCAATTTTCTTTCCCCTTTCCGCCTTTCCCTATGGTTGGCAGATTACATTAGGTCTTGCCTGGAATTCTGACTTTCTTCGTGCTGAATGTTAGTAAGGATTTTTGTGATATAGATTTGTTGATTTAGTAGCCGGCTGTCGGACAGATGTGTGTGTTGATTTTAGTAGCCGGCTGTCGGACAGATGTGTGGTGTCGCTCTGCGGAGACTGCATCACAGATTGGTGGAGTGGTCCGCCCTGAATTGCGAGGAGGTGGGTGGGTATGCAGGGTCTTCGACCCATGCCGCGCGGGTGGTGGGATGTCACTGCTGATTCATGAAGACATCAACTGTCATCAAGTGATGAGTGCTGTGTTCGGGATAGGTATTTGTCTGAGGCTTGGATCTCCGTTGTCATTCCTTTTCGCGGGGGTATGGCGGGTTGGTTTAGCGGGGTCATTGACCCCTTCCGCACAGGTGGTAGCGTAATTTTCTGGATTGCAAAAACCGCATCGTGGTGCGAGTTGGTGTTTTTGGTAGCGGTGTGTGAATCGCAAGGAGGTGGGAGGGTTTGTGGGGTCTGCACCTACAGTTGAGGCGTACAGGGACTGCGCAGGTGGCAGGGCGATTTACCAGGGTTATGTAACAGTTTGGCATGGCTGGAGAAACTAACAATGGTTAGGGTTTGCGATGGCTGGAGAAACTAACAATGGTTAGGGTTTGCCGAACTTTGTCCTCTTTTGAAACTACGTATGTAGTAGTAGTAGTGGATGCTGGTCTGTTTTTTTTGCCTCTTTGTTTTTTCGGATTTTGAACCGATTTTCTTTCTTGTGATTTTTCCTTCGAGATGGGGTATTGTGGTGTGTACTAGCCCCGTTTTCGGGCTTGACCGATGATGTCCCGCCCTTAAACTGGACCAGGGAACTTTAGTGAAGCACGGCAGGCTTGTTTCCTGGCATTTATAAAAATCTTGTGTAAAAAACACAAATAATAATAATAATAATAATATAAAATCGCA